TCCCCTGTAGTTTCCGATTGCGGGTAGTGCACGTTGCTACTTATTACCCATTACCTAAATAGAACAAAGTTATTACTTAAATAGTAATTGTTTCCTTTTCAGACAGAAGGAAATTAGCTGGGCAGAGTTGTGTTGACTGAGTAGTCAATTAAAAAACAAAGGGTAGTCAACTTGGAAAGTCACTTAATTCGCTTTGATTTTTGAATTGAAAAGTTTATTCAAAAGAGTTAGGTAATGGCCATTAGCATACAATCTTTTCTTCTTGTGCCTTATGGAGGAGTGAAAATGAAATGTGATGGATTCCTCTGACCCCCACTTTTCACTTGAGTTTTAGACAGGCAAGTGGCATTGGAGATTTTACTAGTAAAAGTTCTTTGATTTGGGTTACAATTGAATCAATTTGATGACCACGAACATTAAAAGTTCATGAATAGGGCTCTTGACAGAACATTGATTAGTTGGAAACCACTGAATCAATTGAACATGCTGTAATAAAAAACCAAATTAAGCAAAAATAAGTAGAAAAACTGGGAACTCGACCTTTCCCTTGCTTCAAGGGTTGCATGAAGAAAATTGAAAAATACGCACGAGAATCTGAGTTTTCCTCTAGTTGAGAATATAAAAAATACAATTGGTGGAATAGGTTTTTAATTGCAATGAAGTTTGCTCTTCATTCTGGACCACTAAGGTAGCCCGCAAAATTTCAATGCAGCCCAAAGGTTTAGGCTGATGATCTTTGAGGCAATCTTCAAAGAATAAGCAACTCTGATTTATAGAATTTATGATAAAGGTTCTTTGCAAAATATTGTTTAGAATTCAATTCTGCCGCCCTTTTTTTTTTTTGGTGATGGAGTCCATGCTTATTTTCAAATTCATACTAATAACAATCCTATTCAGCTTTTATTTAGCAATTACCTAATGCAGGCAGGAGGGAAAATTTTATACACGCATTCTCAAAATTTTTTTAACCTAGGTGCATGCATGGGCTGCTGAAGACCCAGCTAATTCAATACGGTTTTGACACGACTGGCCCAATCTCTAATTGGTCTTTTCACAATAAAATATTGGAAATTTCATGCAAATGCTATTCCAACCATCAATGGCACAATTATAACTTACTTTCTTCTTCCACATAAAAGCAAAATTGTCATCTTTATTATTTATACGCTCTCTCCTACCAATACCATGATTTGATTTCAAGACATATTTTAACTCGGTTAATGTACCCATTGACCTTGAGGGTTCCATTTGGTTATTCACATTCTTTCCTGCTAGAATGTCCGAGAACAATGGCAAATCATCAACGTTCAATCTACTTTTCAACAAATCCCTCCATCTACGGGATAAGACCCTGGTTTCCTACTACCCCTTTCAAATTCAATGACAAAAGAAGAGAAATAAGAATGTCACCTGAAAATCTATTAATTGACAATTTATTATTAGAAAGAAAATATATTTCGTTAAAATCTTAATAAAAGATGACGAAAGTTTAAAAGACAAGATTTATTTTTTATGAGACTTGTTAAACCCCGAGCTAATTGAAAATTTTATTTCATTGTCCGGCTTGTCACATTAGAATGCCCTTTGTGTTGCAATATAATGCGTGTAAGTGACTATAACTCATTTAAATTAAAAGGGTGAATAATCCTTTTTTAGATACTTAACAAAAAACTTTACCTTTTAAAAAAAATCTTTCTCATTTTTTCTTTTTGATTTAAAGTTGGTAATTTAGATGATGTTTATATAATATACTTTTAAAGTAATTAATTTTTAACATAATACTTAAAACAATCCTTAAATTATTAAAAAAAATTTAAATATGTCTTTATTCATTTATTGTGTTCAATTAAGTTCTTTTACTTTTATTTTAAATTAAATAAACTTGTATTATTAATAATTAATTAATTATTATTAATCAAAATACTACTTGTTATTTTATTTCAATATAACGTTGATATGACATTGACATAGAAGGTAAAAAATATTAAATGATCATATCATCATACTACATCAACACGCCATGTCATCATCATATGACATATCAACATGCCACATCAGTACCACGTAATGTATAATAACAAATAATATTTTGATTAACAATAATTAGTCATTAAGACTTACTCAATTTAAAATAAAAGTATAAAGACTTGATTAAACATAAATAAAAGAATAAAGATTTATTTAATTTTTAAAAAATAATTTAAGATTTTTTTAAATAATATGCTTTAAATTTATTTCTTTGCTTAACATACATCTATAAAAATAAAGATGG